TATCAACTATATGGCTACTTGAGTTTCTAACCTTTGTATAATAATAGCAGTCCACCGTATATTATTCATACTACTTAAATATTTGGATATAATCTTACAAACATTGAATTACAATAGATTTGTTCCCTTTTCAAAGCAAGTGAAAACTTTCATTTATCTTTCTTATTAGTGTAGGGACTTGTGGAGACCGTAGTATTTTAACAGTTGAATTAACAAGTCACTTCAAGCTAGACAACCAGTGAAAACCTGAAAGCACTGGAATGCTGTTTCGTCCTAGTATGGGACTCCTTAATGGTGTGCATTTATGGTCCTGCATGCGTGACCAGTGGCGTCCAGTCAATGTCGGGTAAGAGAAAGTTATCCACCACAGACACTGGATGAAGGGATGGGCATGATCATGGATCGATTGAAGTTGGACATTAGAACTATTGGATGCCGGCTAAGTGGTCTAAAGGCTAAACATTTATGTACGAGACCGATGGTCCCGAGTTCGAGTCCCCTAGGTGCAGGATGGTGAACCCACCCTTCTGAGGGATCCCATACAAGGACGAAAAGGTCGTCCAGTGCTTCCATGTTTTCCATGGTGATCTAGTTTAGATCGATCCGTGAGTTTTGTTTCTGCTTTATTCGTTGTCATATTACTGAGGTGATATACTGATCTACTTCAATTAAGCAATAAATTTAATTTAGGTTTACAACTGACGGACACAACTTTGATCACTTTTCATATTACGTTGTCAGTAAAAGAAATAATTTTAAAGTAGAAACTAATATCATATCTGTCTAGTCCTTATAATAAAATGATAAAGGTTTAATGTGAACACTGGTGTGAGTAACTTGACCAGGCATGTACGTTATTTTGATGTTATGTAGATGAGGGTATGCGAAAGGATACTTTAGACCTTCATATATAAGAATATGAAGCTGAGTGACTTGGATTCAAGTCCTACACGGAGCATTGATTCCCTCATTACTGTAGATACAATTCGCTAATAAGTGCTAACTAATGTGGGAGAAAATGCACAGTTTCCTTCAGACTAATTAACAGAAGAAGTATAATAATTCAAATCCATTTACTTTATTGTTTCATGAATTAAGAAAACTAAATACAATACTTCAGCTCTCTCAAAAAACGATGCGGGTCAAAGGGATGATCTATTGAGTTGCTGAAATTCGGTGAAAGGCGTTAGCATAAATTTGGACAATAAATCCTTTTTTAAAAACTAAAATCTTATTTTAAAACTTCTCTGTATTTTTAATAATTAAGATCATGAGTCAATTAAGGCTAGACCACCATGGAAAACCTGGAAGCACTGGACGGCCGATTCGTCCGACTGCGAAACCCCTTAGCAGTGCGCATCCACGATCCCGCCTCGCAAGATTCAAACCCAGGATCTATCAGTTTTGCGTGCGACCACTTAACCTCTAGACCACTAAGCTGGTCGGCATACAACGGTGTTAATGTCTAACTCCAACTGTATTTATCATTTGATTGAGATTTTTGATGTAAATAAACTTAAGACAAAAGTGGAAACAAGTGTTAACGGTTATTGAGTTGAAATACCTTCGACAGATAGTATGTGATCTTCGTTGTACTATTTAGCAGCTAACTTCTATCCGTTCTTTGATTAGGAAGTAAAATCACTGATTGATTGAACAATATACTGGACTTCCCTACTTGGATAATACGTTCACTGCATTGATACTGTTATTGATTTAAGTGTTTTCCTTACTAGTTTTTTTTCATCGGCATATGTCATTATAAAATGTTGTGATGGTCCAAAACTTGTCCAATAAATCTTTTTTTAATTTTCTGTTGTCCTGGAAGATTATAATGGAAATGATTTCTTTTGATAAGGTTACAGAGTCGATCAAAAAGATATTCTTAACAATCCATGTTAACTAATAAGAAGGTTTAATGTCAGCTGAAAGGATTAAATTTTAACGAACATTTTTAGTTAACGCCTTTTCAACCACACCTAGGTGTGGTTAAAATGAAACCGAAATAAGGATATCAATTTACAAAATTTAGTTTAAGATATTTAAGTATTTACACTTATGCTGGGATTGTAATGAAATTAAAAGTTAATGACCAGAAACTTTAGTTAAAATCAATAGGCATAGATACTTTATATAAGCATACTCCTTAGTTTTATATTGAATTTCAATAAAGATGAATGGTAACTAGCAGTGGAATCCAGTTTGATACGTGTTTCGTCCTATTTGAGACTCGTCAGCTGAATGTACCTGCATTTCAGGTTGATGTTCACCCTGTGACTTGAACCCAGTACCGATCATTTCAAACGCTATCGCGTTATCCATTAAACTAATGAGTCCTGATAGCCACTTGCTTGTGCAATCAGGTGAAGTTTATATTCATTTCGTATTATTTGTATGAATCTTCTCATTTTTATTTAGGACTGTATTTGATCAGTCAGTCACTTATTGGCATATGTGCATCCTGCCTCGATATTGCTTTAGTTCACAATCATTATAAGCAAATATAGATAGTGACTAGCAAAGGAATCTAGGACTCGCGTTTCATCGTATTTGGGACTCATCACCCAAATGTCGAAAAACTCAAACTAACAATAACAAATAAATCTGGATTTCATTAGTCTGGTAACACCACACTTCTTTTCTCTTGTATCCACGTAACTCTACTGGTTAATTTTAAGTGTCCTGTTTTAATAGTTGTATTAGTTTTTGTAAACGTTTTTGCAGTGATCAGCTGCATCTTTCGTTATGATTCATAAAAACTTGGGGAAATATTTGGAATGATTACCTAATGTAATTGGAAGACTTTCATTGGTCTGTCGAATAATATTACTAGTGATTTTTAAAAAATTTATTCCACAAATACTGAATTACTCTATCCTGACAACCTTGTTCAAAATGTTCAAAGTTTAATTATCTTGTAGTGGTGGTCACCAGAAGGTTGCGTGTTCGAATCGCGTCGGGCTCACCAGTTGTTGTGCTGCGTCGAGTCGCCATTGAATATGATCACCACTACAAGAAGACTACATGCCAGTTAACCGATAAGATCCCCGTAAGCCAAATATCAGAAGGCAGTTGATGGCTGTAGTCGAGATGTATTTGTTGGCGATCTCGTGGTATCAAAAGACTACCGAGATCGTGCCAGATTACAAGTGTGGTTACAGAGCGTAACAGAATTCGGAGCCGGAAGAATGTATGTGTTTTGGTACAGTTAAACAAACGAGTGCGGTAAAACAATCACTGGTACAATTGGTTATAATAATAATAATTGTTTCGATTATACCAATCGCGTTCTCTTGATAAAAGTAGGTCACTACAAACTAATATATTATAATTAGAAATATCGTCACTCATGTTTACAATATAAGTAGTATATTTCGTAATGTGATAAATTCTTCCCTCAGAACATTTACTCATTCTGAGAATGAATCAATAACTAATTAATGAAGTTACCATAAATAAACCATATTAGGGTTAGTGTAAAACTGTTACGTAATAACAAATAATAAATAGGTAACTTTAATTAGAAAACATATATCTTTACTTGTGTATACCTTTTTTAACTTGTTATATTCAGAATGGAACGTGCATTTCACTCTGGAACATGTCATTTACATATATGCATAATACAGTATTGGAAGTAATAAAGTATCTACTGATGATGAGCATATGACGAGGTTGACGCGTCAAACTCATTCCATATTACCAAGAACAGAGAAAACAATGCAATTGAACACAATGATAATATGTTGTTTGAACAGATTAATATTGGGTTCAAGTTGAAGTATAAACATGAACATTGTGAATAAGTTTTCATCTAGTTGACGAATCTCAAGTAAAACGAATTGATTCGTTAGCTTCAGCCTAAACAATATGAAAATATTTATTCTTCCTTATATTAGGGAAATATATAACTCAGCAATTAAATGGTGGTTGGAGGTAGCCGATAAGAAACCCTGGACCAGGGTTTTGTGCCATTTGGCACTTGTCAGCAAAGTATACCTGTAATCTTGAGAGGACTGGTGCTCCCCAACGGATTCGATCACAGCTTCATAGCTTCAAACAAAACCCAGGTCTAGGGTTTCTTGTTGACTACCTCCAACCGTCATCTTATCTCAACATAGTGCACGCAATATCAAGTCACATAGACTAGTGGCCACATTGCAACTTGGTCGATAGCATCCGATCTGCACTAAGAATGACTTGACACATATGACATTGATCACCACCAGTGATCAATCAGTTGTAAACCCAGCAATTTAGTTATATTGTAATGAACGACAACACATGTGGAGACAATCGAATATACTTGAATACAGAATTACAAAATGTCTTAGTAAAATCTGTGAATCATATAGTAAATTATTCATTTGTAAAATGTCAATCAATCGTCTGAGACTTTATTATTCCTTCGTTTCCACACAAATCATTCTTTGTTCTCGTTCTCTTCTGTTTGATCTTCTTAACTTTCTGCCGCATTTCACTTTTGATTAATGATACATACTACTTATATCTGTTAACATCAGTAGCATACACCACAATATTTGTTGCTGAAAGCAATTATTCTATTGATTTTGTAAATTATATACACATACTGAATTAACAGTATAGGGTTGTGGAGATTATTATGTTTTTGATTGAGATCATGAACCGATTGATATTAGACTATCATTGAAGACCTCGAAGCATTGGACGACCGTTTCGTCCCATTGTACAACTCCTCAGCAGTGTGCATCCACAATCCCGTTCACGGGATTCGAACCTAAGACATTTAGTCTCGCATAGGAATGCTTAACCTCTAGACCACTGAATCAGCTATTCAGTGCTTCCAGCTTTTCAATAATGGTCTAACATCAATCGGTTTATAATCTTAATGAAAAAAACATACTGAATTATTGGTTCATTAATATTAACTACAATTCATTCAAATATACTTAACAAATGCATTAACTATTATTTCAGAATAAGTTTATCTATCTATCTACATCAACACTGAAGAGAAAATGGTCTCCAACTATGGTCGATATTCCAATTGTACATCTCCAACCTTAAATAAAACAGACGATACATCACATTCGAATCGATTAAATTTATATGTAGATAATAAACCTGCTACACCTTGGAAACGTGGAGAAGTTATTCATGAGGGAAGTGAGTGTAATTTTTTTGTGTTTTTTTTTTTTGGTTATTAAAATGTATTGTTTCCATGTCTTTTATTACAATAAACAATGTTAGACAAGATTTAGCTTTGTATTAATTCCTTTACATTTTTTTTTAGAAAACCATCTTATTTTGGATGAGAAGTACTTTAGAATCAAATGACTGTATTAACCCTCCTCCCCCCCCACACACACACACATAGGTCTCGGATTCTGGCACAAATTCACTCATCCATTTGGCTGATTAAATTCATGGCATTATAGCGGATTTCAGTTCGTGATGAAAAACTCCCTTAATCTAAACTTTAACCTGTAGTGACCTGCTTTTATCAAGAGAACGCGATTGGTATAATGGAAACAATTATTATTATTGTTATAACCAATTGTAACAGTGATTGTTTTACTGTACGTGTTTGTTTAACTGTACTAAAAACACACCTTCTTTCGTTGACTATGACCTTGCACGCTCTCGGTTACGCTCAGTAGTTCCATTTGTAAACTTTGGCACGATCTCGGTATTTTTTCGGTACTTTGTCGGGCTCACCATTTGTAGCGTTGTAGCGTGGCGTCGAGTCGCGGTTGACTATGATAACTATCACACTGAGACTATGTGCCAGTTATTAAGCTGGATTCCTTCGTAGGTGAAAAACTAGAAGGCAGTTGATGGTGGTATCAAAAAAATACCGAGATCGTGCCAAAGTTTACTAGTGGAACTACTTAAAGTACACGAGTGCGTGAAAAGTCATAGTCAACGGAAGAAGGTAGGTTTTTAGTACAGTTAAATAAACAAGTACAGTAAAACAATCACTGGTACAATTGGTTATAATAATAATAATAATAATTGTTTCCATTATACCAATCGCGTTCTCTTGATAAAAGTAGGTCACTACAAACTATCACCTGGAAATATAATTCTTATTCCTCATCCTGGTTTATAACCCTCATTTCGTCCCAGTTATCAGATGGATGCTCTCAAGGCTAGTTCAACATCACTCAAAGGTTGTCCATAAATGATAGTCTCACCATAATCAGTACTTAATCTTGAAAGGTATTTATCTTATAGCTATTGTCAAGAGATATATTTGTAGTTAATATATGTTAACTCTAGTGAATAGACTTTACTAGATTAAGGCAATCTAAAAGATTATGATCCATAGTCAACAATAATCATTGTTTTAGCAATTATATCAATCCTAATTCATTTATTTTGGTAGTAAGCGTTCGTACATAAGACTGAAAGCCCTGGGTTCGAATCTTGCGAGGCAGAATAGTGAATGTGCACTGATGATTAATAGTCCCACAAGAGGACTAAATGGCCGTCCAATGCTTCCAGGTTATCAATGGTGGTCTAACATTGTTCAGTTAATGATCTCAACCAAAATCTTTTTTTTCCTGAATGATACTGATTTTTCTGGAAAACACTTTTTCTAGTCACACTATATATACATACTGATTTTGTGGATCTTATAGTAATTTTTTAATACTTTAAATCATGAGTCAATTGTAACTAAAACACCAAGTAAAAAATGGAACCATTGAATGGCCGTTTCGTCTTAATATGAGGCCCCTCAGCAATGCGCATCCAAGAATTTGCCACATCGCTAGATTGGAACCCAGTACCTATCAGTCTCGCACGTGAGCGCTTAATCAAATAGACTACTGATTTGGTCGGCATCCAACAGTGTTATTGTCTAACTTCAACTAATCCACGAAATTCAGTAACACATCCACTGTTGTCATCAGTGGGTTACTCTATCTCACAACAGATCCGATTGAACTCTACTGATCACTACTTCTCACTAGAAATCCAAGAAATACCTATTTTTGTAGCCAGTCACTGATGAGCATATGTTGATTCATATCAGAAGGAGTTTTTTGGATATGATAATAATTTTTGACAAGACTCTCATTTATGGATGACCTTTGAACGAATCTTAAGTCACCTTGAGAAATATCAGCCAATCAGCACACAGTCAACATAGAGTAAAAATATATTATTATACAAAACCATGAAAATAAAGTGGATACACTTCTTGGACGTGGTTCAAAAACTTGTCAAGGTTAGAAAGAGGTTCTTAAATCGTAATACATGCAGTAAAAGAAATCATCCATATGGCTACAGAATAGTCGGCCTTTGGAGTCATGATAGTCCCAAAAACTCTTTCAGCCTCGACCACATAGCTTCAATATTGTTTATGTGCACTCCGGTTGCTGAGTGCACAAAATGCTAATTTCGGATAACGACAAGATGCATATAACCAAGCCTATGTAGGAGTCTATACGCTCTCCATCATCCGTACATAATGTAGTACCCGGCTGCAGCCAGTGGTACTGGTGCTTTTATTATCCAGTTCGCGATAATTGTCGTAATTTGCCTTAGCTAGGAATTATATATGGGGTTTTCATCACGAACTGACATCAGCTATAATGCCAGAAATTTATTTGGCCAAATGAATGAAAGGCTTTCGCGTTAAAATCTGAGATTTATTATCTTATAGCTGATTGACTCGTCCATAAATTAGAGTCTCGCCATTTTACTTGTTATAGCCTCACAATTATCACGTTTTGTACAAAATTCGTTGTGAACCGATCGTACGTTAGCATTAAGCACTGAAGTTGACACCGTAACCTTGAAATCTCTAAAAACGCCTCTGATTGGCTCGTCCATAATTAGAGTCTCGCGACTAATTTTTTTTAATAGTTAGATCATATATTCCCTTTTATTTCATTCACCAAATCATATTGAACTTCATAACTGAAAGTGATTTATCCTACTTTTTAAATCCCATATTATTAGTTACTTATTACCTTGACAATTAAATCTTATGGTCAATATTAATTTCATTCAATGTTATTTTTTTTTCAAAAAAAAATCTGTATATCATTTAGTGATACCCGTTGATAAGGGTTATATACAAAAAAATATATTTGGTCGACGTTACTATGGAAACAATAATATGAAATTTTATCATTCTGGCAGTACTGGAACTGGTGGTGGTGGTGGTGGCGGTGGTGTCGGTACTAGTGATGGAGGTGGTGGTGGTAACTTTTACAATTATTATGGTCGTAAACGTGGTCGAACATACAATCGACATTATTATCATGAAGGTCAACGAGCTTATAATAATAATCATAAATCAAGATATCCATTTACTTGTTCACCTACTGTATATCCACTTTCACGTAGTCAATCTAGTTACAATATTGACTCCGATATAACTAATAATAATAATAGTGATGATTATCATTATCATTATAAGAATGATAGAAGAGTTCATCGTTATTCCAATTGTAGTTATACAATGAATAATGAACAATTAACAGATGAATATATTGATGATTGTTTATCTACAGATATTGAACAATATCAATTAAAATTAGATATGAATAATCAATATATTCATCATAATTATACATCTAAACATTTAACAACAACAACAACAACAAATAATGATATGAATAATGTTGATGATTGGACTAAAGTCAAAACATCATCACCATCATCCTCCACATCGTCATCATCATCATCATCATCATCACCATCACCATCAACAGATTCTGATTTTGTATCCAATGATATTAGTCAACCATCATCGTCATCGTCGCCGTCAGCATCATCATCACCGTCGTCATCATCATCATCATCGTCAAATAATCAGATAATTAATAGTTATTTACATAATGACACTAAACAATTACAACATAAATGTAAAAGTTCTTTAAATTTATCAACTTCATGTATAATTGTATATGATACAAATAATAATGAAGATTATATTGATGTAAATCATCATATTCATGATAATGTAGAAAATCAAAGAGAATCTATCGAATATGATAATCATCAGAAAGATTGTAAGTAATATTTCAATGAAATATGTATTAATTAGTATTGAATATCTATTCATGACTTACATCTGTTACCCTTCGTAGAGGAGTATAGACTGCCAACTAGCATTCTCCATTCAACTCTGTCTTGGGTAATCGTTTCTAGTTGTTATTTATTTAAACATATAAACATTGATACAAGAAGGCACCAAATAGATAAAAAACCATATAAATCAATCGACTTATGTCGAGACTGAGATACTGCTCAAACCGAAGCAGGTAATTTTCTTACGGGAGCATACAGGAACCATACCAGAAACATTTCAGAGAACAGTTCAACTGACCTTCAGCTACTCTACAACTACCCTCCATTCCCAGACAGCGTGAACGGAACATTGAAGTAGGTCCCCCGACTCTAGCAGAAGTTCAAAAGGCTATAGTTAATCTGAAGCGAGGAAGGGCAGCTGGTCCAGATGGACTGGCTCCAGAAGTCTTTAAGGATGGTGGTCCAATTTAAGCGATTAGGTTGACTAATATTTTAGCTAAGATCTGGGAGTTAGACGTTATCCCATCTAACTGGTCACAATCACTTATCGTCCCAATATATAAGAAAGGGTCAAAATCATCCTGTGACAACCACAGAGGGATTAGTTTAACTAATATAATATCTAAAATACTAGCCTCCATAATTATTAGACGCCTAACTAAGACTCGTGAACTGCAAACACGAGAGAACCAAGCTGGCTTTAGACCTGGTCCTGGCTGCATCGACCACATATTCACCATTCGTCAGATTCTAGAACACAGGCATACTTATCGGCGTCCGACAATGGTGGTCTTTCTTGACTTAAAAGTAGCATTTGACTCGGCAGACCGCGAGATTCCGTGGCAGTGTCTGTCATTGAAAGGTGTACCCCAGAAGTACATAAACCATGTAAAGGCTCTTTACTCGAACACCACTAGTCGAGTCAGAGCTTATGGCGAACTGTCATCTACCTTTGCAACCTAAAGTGGTGTCCGTCAAGGATATCCACTTTCCCCATTTTTGTTTAACTTCATCATAGATCTACTGATGGAAATAACTTTCTCGTCGACTGAGTTCTCGGTATTGATCTCCATCCAGGAGGTCCACTTATCGACTTAGAATACGCAGATGACATAGTCTTGTTTGGTGAAGACGCTGACAAAATGCAGTCTTCTGGTAGCACTGATCAACAATGCCAGAATGTTGGGAATGCGCTTCTCTCCCTCTAAATGCAAGTTGTTCCTTCAGGACTGGTTTGCGTTAACACCTGAACAAAGGATAGAGAGTGAAGTAGTCAGACGCGTTGACAACTTCACTTATCTTGGAAGGCATTGGAGCAATGTTAAGAGATACAGTCTCATGATAGCTAGTGATAAACAGTTGGTTCATACGCCATTTGTTCCTTAAGGATCCAGGAGTCAGCCCATGTGTACCATTGGTTGAGAATCAGGGTTTTCTAATTCCCCAAAGTGGACTCTCTGTGTCATCAATCCAGTTAAAGCGCCGAACATTCGATTTTTGTCCTCTCGATTTTGTGAACAGCAGCCCTACTTCGACAAGGTAATGAGTAGGACTTCTGTGGTAGTGGCTGTATACACGTGGTCATGTGAGAGCATTGTGAAGAGAGTTTGCTCTTTCTACTCTTGGCCGTACCAGGGCATTGAGGGTTACATTTGTATTTTTCATTTACATCATTTCTCTCTGTATTATTATTGTATCTACTGAAATGTTTAACTGGCTTATGATTCATATTAGCGTATCGAATCCAATGATGTATAGTGAAACCAAGATTGGTGGTAAGGATTTATTTGACCGCTGAAATAAATCAAAGTGATATACAAGTACATTACTTTCAATATAGTTTATATGTAGTTAGATCAGTAGTCAGATTTGCATAACACGATATATGCACAAGAAGTAAACATGGACTATAAACCGAAACTTAGGGGTACTAGACGTCTATCCCCTAAACGGTTGTCAGTATATGTAAGAGGATTTCGACAATGGTAGTCTATCTGAGTAGCCCGTGTCGCGACAATAGTCTATGACTTCATTTACAAGGGTGGTGCCCAAGGAAAATGTCTTACACAACAGGTAAACGACATGCGATTCAGAGACCTGACGTTGACTAGGGAACTCTCAATATCCTCTCTAGCATTACACTACGGTCTTGATTCAGACGGTCAGAGGCAACCAAGCAAGCGCATCAGAAGCAGTAACCAGACCTTAAAAAATCATCGAAAAAAACCTTACCTTCCGCACAGCCTTCATTTGAATCCGACTAGTCGGACCTATTTTCAGGACGGTAAGTTTTTATGACAATAGCCAAAGCATCCATTGAAATCCGAGTACTGTGAAGTTGTATCTCCTCATTTCCACAGCTATTTGACTCGTTCTTCCGGTCTCTCAAATTGTCCAGACGTTTCATTTACCTATAAAGATTGTTACTCTGGTTGTTAGAAGTAGCATCAGCTTCGTGACTTCCGAAGAATTTCAGCTTTTATCCTGAGGCGTCATAATTCTTCCTCCAACTCCCAGGATAGATTTTAAATGGTTTAATCTGTTTAATCTGGTTGGAGTGTTTTTTAGCAAGATTTTTTCTACGTGATTATTTTGCCGACCCCATTCCCAACCCTCCTTCTTTACCCAAGCTTGGGATCGGCAGTAACTCTAGGAGAGCTACAGGCAGACTTATCCACTGAAGTAGATCTACCCATAAACATCACAATTAAACAAGCCAAGTGTTTATCTGAAAACATTGATGATTTTGTTTATTTGTTATACTTTCAGGTAAATCTCGAAATATGAATGACTATCTTACTCTTGTTTGGGGTAAGTAAGCTATGTTTATGTTGATTATTGACTAGAGACTTGAGTTCATGCCAATCATCTTTATAGTTAGAGGCAGTAAAATTTCTCAGGTATCAGAATAGAGTAAATAGATTTATTGTTCATTAGAAAGTAAAGAGTGTTATATTGCTTAGTTCTTTATGATGTTGACTTGTTTAGTTTAATGTCGACGATGAGTATATGTTTCATAGAATTCAATTATCACTGTTAATTGCATCGTCAGATATCAACTACACCGGGTTACTCCGTCAATTAACACACTAAGGTTAAGAATATCTTACAATTGATTGATCACCGGATGGTGGTCATTGTCATCTGTATCAAGTCCAACTACCTCCAACCACCATCTTATCTCAACATAGTCTTCACTTACACTACATCTCAGTCCTACAGGAGGTCGACCGCGGCCCGGATAGCTCAGTGGTAACGTCTCTGATTGTGAAGCTCGGCAACACAGGATCGAGTCCGTCGGGGGGCACCAGTCTCCTCAACATCACAGAGACACTTTGCGGACGAGTGCCAAGTAACACGAAACCCGGATCCAGGGTTTCCTGCTGACTACCTCCAATCACCATCTTATCTTTATAATGTCTAGACAGCATTGGTCAGTGAAGTTATTAAAAGTTAGAGATATGTAAAATGGTACAAAGTTTTTGGTTAATGTTCCCCTTTATAACTTACATAGCTTAAACCTATAAGCAGTACTTTGATACTTGATACAGTGATTCGTTTTAATTGTTCAAAGCTTTATGCTAACCTTGTTTCACTTTATCCACTACCATAAATTGGAGTATACTTAATTAAGAATAAATTTGTCTCATAGAAAACTGTTGAAGGAAATTTATAACCTTGATTCGTAGTAGTGAATTTATTTAGTATGATAATTATTCATTCGTAAGTATTTGAATATATTTATGATAAATATCAGAAGGGGAAGCCTGGAAGCACTGGAGAGCCGTTTCGTCCTATTGTGGAAAGTCTCAGCAGTGAGCATCTACGATCCCACCTCGCGTTTTCCATAATGGTCTAGCTTCAATTGACTCATGATCTTAACTATTAAAATTACTATGATATTCACAAAACTCTTTCTCATATTAATCAACATATGCTCATTAGTGACTGACTTCAAGAGGTATATAATGGAGTTCTAGTGAGAAGTAGTGATCAGTAGAGTTCAATCGTATCTGTTGTGAGATAGTAACCCACTGGTGACAACAGTGGATGTGTTATTGAATTTCGTGGATTACTTTAAGTCAGACATTAAGTCCACTGGATGATGGCTCAGTGGTCTATTTGGTTAAGCGCTCGCTCACGAGAATGATAGGTACTGTGTCCGAATCCCGTGAGGTGGTGCGGTCGTGGATTAGTTTAATGATTAGATTAATTCTAGTTAAATCTTTAATAATTGTAAGGAAAATGTTTCAAGTTTTGATCAAATTCCTGACAATATCATATCAGATGTTATTTGTAGTAAAGGTGTACTATACTACCGACTATGTGGTTAACGTATAAACTGACTAAAGTTCATGAATTACGCATAAGAAGTTATGGTTAGGTTTTTCATCAATAAGTGACATCAACTATAATGTAAGAACTAAGTACTTATTGACGACTGTTAACCCTCGTCGAGAAACATGAGATACTCACCAGCATTCTTCATTCAACTTTTTCATGGGCACTTTTTTCCAGTTGTTTTCAGTTAATGTTCATCCTTTTCAAGTCTGCTTTCAATTCTCAGTGGAGTGTGTTCTTTGATCTTTCTCGTTTCCATTCAGGATTCAAAGTCAACGCTTGCAACATGATGCAGTTTCATAATTTCCGTAATCTATTTCATATTTACTTCTCACGTCTTTTCCTAATTTACTCTTCAGCTGGTAGTTGATATGTTCTCTCCCAAAGTAGTTTGTTGCTGATAGTATCCAGTCAACGGGTATTGAGTATTTTTTGCAGACAATTGTTTATAAATACTTGTACCTTTTTAATCATGATTGTAGTAGTGATTTCCTACGTTTCGGTTCCATACAGTACTGCTTTGAAGTTCGTATTGAAGATTCTGACTTTGATATTGATTGAAAGTTGTTTTGAGTTCCATATATTCTTCAATTTTAAAAATGTTGTCCTTGCTTTGCCAATCTTCGCCGTTACGTCTACATTTAATCCTCGTTGTTCATCGATGATGTCGATCAGGTACGTGAAAGATTACACATCCTCCAGAGGTTCTTCACCAAGTGTGATTGGGTGTGTGTTCTTCGTGTCCTATTCGAGGATCTTGGTTTTCCCCTCGTGTATGTTGAAGCCTACTGATGCAAAAGCTACTGCTACACTACCTGTTTTCATCTACGCTTGTTGGTATATATGGGATAGAAAAGTATGGTCATCTAGAGTTACTGCCGGTCCCATGCCCGGGTAAAGGAGGAGTGTTGGGCATGGGGTCAACAACTCCATACCGCAGAAAACAATCTTGATATAAATCGCTAACCAGTATAACGTAAAGATCTTGAACGTCAAATGTTCATTATAAATCTTAATATAATAAATCATAGATCTATCTGCTCTATCTCCTGACTGGTTAAATGGGATAGGACCCTAACGTCGTTCGGTGAAATATTATAACTTACCTTGTTGTTCCTATTGTTACTTATATGAAACTGCTGTTCGATGTGAGAACTAAGTTCTAAGTGAATTGAAATTCGATTACAGCAACGTTACTGTTCTATCTGAAGTTGAGTGCTCTCACAATGCATTTAATTTTAATGAAATCTTAATTCAGTATAAGACAAATGTTCGAAATGAGTCAAGTTCTGACTATATTTCTGATGTTTCATTCATTGCTCATGTATGTAAACGAGTACTAAGTATATAGATTAATATGAAATGTGATGGAACTCTCGGAGTTCTAGTGAGAAACCATAACCAGTAGAGATAATCCGTATCTAGTAGAGACAGGTATCTACCTCAGTACAATGTAAGATGGTCGCACAATTTTGTGGATTAGTTAAATTTAGACATTAAGTCCATTGGATGCTGGCTCATTGGTCTAGTAGGTTAAGCGTTCGCTCGCGAGACCGAAGGCCCTTAGTTGGAATCCCGCGAGAGGGATCGTGGATGCGCCCTGCTGAAAAGCCTCAATATAGGACGAAATGGCTATCCAGTGCTTCAGATTTTCAATGGTGGTCTAACATCAATCAATTCATGATCTCAATAAACAACATAATAATCTCCACAACCCTACACTTACATATATTAAGGGTTAATTTCACCGTAGCTCTGTTGTGTTTTATCTTGTTAGTGAATGTTCTAATGAACTTTGCACTAAATTTTTACTGTTTTGTTGATTTGTTACGAAGTAATAGCCATCCATTATTTCATCTATAGTTTAGCTTAAACCTATAAGATTTAGAATGATTCAGTGTGATGCTTCATAGAATTCTTAATCAACTTAGTGTACAGCCCGGTCTATTGTTTGATGTAAGATCAATGATATTAAATTAAAAATTACTATTAATGGAAGTGTTTATAAGTAGTTGAATATAAAGTATTTAGTGATTCTTAATGCGGTTGTTTTATTTCGAAATTATTCGTAACTTAACATTAACTATTCATTGATATTGGAATGATTGGGATTTACTTACTTACTTACTTACGCCTGTTACTCCTCGTGAAGGAGCATAGGCCACTCACCAGCATTCTCCATCCAACCCTGTCCTGGGCAATCCTTTCTAGCTCCGTCCAGTTGTAATTATGATTGGGATTTAGGGACGATAATTAACTCATAGTTTGAAGGAAAATAGAAATACGAACTCAACTTCATTGTTGTGATCGATTTTGAAATTTGTCATTTATCAATCTTCAATAAGTATTGTCAGGAGCTCTATCAAGATATCTTCAAATATGGATTTGGATGATTTCATAAATTAACGCATGTCTTGATCTTCTCGTGAGTAACTTATTTCCAACTAGCATTCACGTTGGAATAGGTATAGATTAAAGATGAATAACGTTTGTCCTAATCACTTGATTGGATGCAGGCACATAACCTTATCAATAGATTTTTCTTCTTTTTTTAACTAGAATTGTGTTATCAGTCTCGAGATTATTCATTCGGTGATTTCACCATACATGAGCAATGCTTCTAGAATACTAATTTATGTCTTATAATTTCAAAGTCATCTTTCACAGTCTTGTATTCACATAAAGTTAACTGCTGAGTAGCATAATTTTCACTTAGTGGGCTAACAGATAACTCGTTTGCATTAAATGGTTCATGATAAAAAAAAAAACTATGATAATCGTTAAATTCAATTGATATTGTTTACTTGAATTTTCCTACGAATGTTTAAGACTACAATTGATCAGTCAGTCTCTTATTGAAATATATACATACTCTGTATAGTTCTTTGATATTGCCTTGATTCAAAAGTATTCTAAGCAAATCAATGGGATGGTTCAAGTAAAATAATACTAAGTGAATGTGAAATTCACCCTATTGCACAACAAGTGGCTATCAAGACGCGTTGGCATTTAGAGCGAACGATATTGGGTTCGAGTCCCAATGTAAACATTAACTCTGAAATGCAGGTACATCCATCTGATGAATCCTAAAATAGGACGAAACATGCGTCAAACTGGATTTCACCGCTAGCCATTATCCATTTTTCTTATATTACTTGTGAATTAAGGCTATATCGAGGCAATACACACAGTATGCACATTTGTCAATAAGAGAATGACTGATCGATTGCAGTCCTAAATATCAATGAGAAGATTTAAGTAAACAATACCAACTTCACCCCATTGCACAAACAAATAGCTATCAGGACTCATTATCTAAGTAACTAACGCAGTGACATTTAGAACGAACGATATTGGGTTCGAGTCTCGCAGTGCAGATCAAATGTGAGATGCAGGTACATCCATCTGATGAGTCCTAAAATAGAACGAAAGGCGCGTGGAAATGGATTCCACTGCTAGCCATTATCCATCTTTACATATTATATATTATTATAAGCAAGTAAACTAATAACCATATTCATTCACTTCTATACATCTTAGGTGATCTACCTGAAACGTTGGAAAATAATTAAACATGAAAAATGAATTATTCAATGGTTGTGAGATCTTCTTCAACATTATGTTCTTCTTCTTTTTCTTCTTCCTAATAAACAATCAACAACAATAAAAAGAAAAAAAACTCCCACATTAATATACAATACAGTTTTTGTATTAATGTCAAGTGAGTTTCTCTTTCATTTAAATGATGCGCATAGTTATGATAAATTTTTGTTTTATTGAGTATAATTTCAAGTTAGTAACAATGAGTATCAATTATGATGTTGATATGTTGTTAGGAAACGGGTACTAGGTAAGGATAGAAAATCAATTGATGAACCAATGAAACTCTTAAGCATTTCATCTGAACACTCAAAGCAACAATGCAAACATGTTGGGGATGCGATTCTCCCCCTCGAAATGCAAAATGTTTGTTATGGATGCAGAATAATGTGCCAATCATTATCATGTTAAGTCTTATGTTGTCCTTGGACGTTAAATGGACATTTCCTATTGGCCGTTATTTATTTCATTCGTTAAATATTGTACAAATGTTGTTTTCTATTTTATGGTACGATGTGGTCTGGTTGATTGGTATATAAATAGAGTATGTCTGGAATATAGTGATTCATATCTCCGAGGCTTTGACTTGTGTTCTGGACTCAACTGACTGAGCTAGACAGGGAAGCGGGACCAATCGCGACTCTAAGCCGTTCGTACGTGTTTACTTGTCATTGAATCGATCGATAAATACGCTGCTCTTTAATCTTTCAGTCAAGGACATAACAATTAGCACAGGGTAAAAATCGACCCAAAGTTTAAAGTCATAACAATGTTACTTCAGGATTGGGTTGCATCGACATCTGAACTAATGATAGGGAGTGAAGCAGTTGAGCGTGTCGACCACTTCATTTATGTTGGGAGTTTCATCAGCCCTTGTGGTCTGGTGTGTGTCATGGCACAAGTCCATGAAGTCACTGACAAGTGGTAGGTGTAGACTACCTGGTTGGGATCCGCGAGATGATAACAACCGATGGTTAGAGACCTTGAATGACATGGCTCAAAATCGTTTGCAATGGTGTACTCAAGTGCATCCATTCTATGTGTTCCCCCAAATTCTAATCTTCTGAGTTCTTCATGTTCCTTATTTTCTCTCTTTTGAACTTTATTTCATTGGATTACACTTCTTGAATAACATCTTCAAACCTTAATGTTTCCGATCAGTGCTTATACTCTTACTACCTCTACCACTATGAGATTTGAATCGACAACTGCATCTCTGTGCTAATGTGGTATGGTAACTCGAACTGATGTATGTACGTATGAAGTACCACATTGTTACTGACTGACTGATATGTAAGGTAATATTATACTGATCATGAATTTTCTAAATCTATAAAGTAATGCAAATGAACTAATCTGATTAAGGTTACAACAAATTTCTTATCTGAATCGATTCGTACAGTTTTTTTTACAGTAAGGTTTCTCATGAAATTCCGGTTTTATCAGTCACTTCATCAGTAACTAAATCGTATTGTGGATAAAGATAGATGAACGGTTTAGTAGTAAAATATGTGGGATAAGTTATTGTGTTTTATTGTTGTCTAGTTATATGATGAAACATATAGAACGATTAGATAATGGCTAGTAGTAGAATTCATTTTGATGTGCGTTTCGTCCTGCTTGGGCCTCATCAGCTGGATGTACTTGCATCGCAGAGATGATATTCACTCTGGGACTCGAACTCAGTACCGTCCACTCTAAATGCCATCGGATTATCCATTTAAAACAATTATAATATATATTAAAAATAAGTGAATTGTTAGTCAATAATAAGAAAACAACCAGACCAAATTCATGATCGATTTAATATCCTGATTTAGCGTGGTTGATATAGCATTACGACTATCGTAACCAATAGTTGAAGACTATGGGTGATATGACTGAGAATTGATCACAATGGCATTGGTGTATAAAAACTTTGTCTTCTTTTATACTATGAGATTAAAATTACTCTATAACTTTCTATTTACGATCTAATTCTTTCTCTCTGTATTATATCCTGATATGCAATCTTTCTTTTATATATTACCACCATTGAATTAACTACTTCTATGAATTTGGTGTTCATGTTGTTGTGTTAATGAGATATGGTAACTTGAACTGATGCACATATGTGCTTGATCCTACGTTGTAGCTGACTAACTGATATACTTCCTCCTTCAAAAAGTGATTCTTTCTTCTATTCACTAGTGTTTAGTGAAAAAAATTCCAACAATTATTTGATTGCTAAAATCATCATTTATAATTTTAAGCCGTGATCATTAAGTATTTTGATTGAGATCATGAACCAATTGATGTTAGACCAACATTTAGATCCTAAAAGCATCAATCGGTTCATAATCTAAATCAATAACTTAATAATCTTCATAACCCTATAGTGATAATTACCATGTTGTCATTAGTGACTAGCTTCGTGAGGGAATTCTCAGAGTTCTGGTGAGAAACCGTGACCAGTGTAGCTAACCCATGTCAGATAGAGACAGGTATTTACTTCAGTACTATAGAAGATGATCGCAAAATTTCGTGAATTGGTTGAGGTTAGAAATTGTTACCGGCTCAGTGGTCTAGTAGGTTAAGCGTTTGTGAGCTAGACCGAAGACCCTGGGTTGGAATCCCACGAGCGGGATCGTGGACGCACACTACTGAGGAGTCCTATACTAGGACGAAACAGCCATCTGGTGCTTCCAAGTTTTTAATAGTGATCTGACATCAATCGGTTCATGATCTCAATCAAAACTTAATGATCAATACAATGTTTTTTTTCTGTTTACATTTATCAAAGGATCTATTTATATGATATTTAAAATCTGTCAATTTAATGTAGATTCATTTCAATATATGTATATCGTGCTCAAAGCAAGTAATTACCGTTTCCGATGTTGAATCATTATCTAAACAAAATGAAAAAAAATCATCTCAAGTCTGTATTCAAACATCTATTTAAAATATAAATAATTCACTAGGTTATTCATTCGCGCATTTATTTGAACACATGGATAGTAGTACAAAGGGGCACCAAATACATATGCGCCACACAATTCAATTGATTTGTATGTGGTCTGTGATACTGCCCGGATGCTCAGACCGAAGTAGGTGATTTCCTCAGGAAGCCACGCCCGGAGGTTTCGACTTAAATGCTTAATTCACGAGGCAATGGGACAACGTACAGAGAACAGTCCTATGGTCGATGATGACCAACCATTTGGTTCATACGCCATTTGTTCCTTCAAGATACTGGAGCCAGCCTATGTGCTCCATTGGTTTGAAATCAGAGTTTTCCAACTCCTTTAGGTGGATCCTCCATATCCACCAACCCGGTTAAAGCGCCGGACATTCGCATTTCATTTTCTCAATTTCTTAAAGAACAACCCGATTGTGAGAAGGTAGTGAGTAGGACTTCCTTGTATACAAACGGATATCAGTCAGCCAGCCAACAGAAACTGATCATATAAGCTTGATTTGTACTAATCTATTAGCTCTAAAGATAATTCTTAATAAGTTCGGCTAAGTCAATTAGAATCAGATCGCTTACTATTCATTAACTAAAAGTAGAAATGAAATTTTATGTCAATATAATAAGATCTTATATAGTGTATATCACATTGATGACCATGATATACAATTATTGGTATTTATTGATTTTACATGTTTGATTAGAATACCGGTGAAACGGTGATTTATGGACGACTTTTAAGTGACTCTAGTGAATGACCATGAAACTGTTTATCTAACAACTAAGATTAAATGACGGGTTATAAACTATGGTGAGAAATTAGAATTATGATTTACAATTAATGATTAAGATTAGGAATTCGATTTGGGGCCGGGGGGGGGTCATCACCAAATGACATCAGTTATGAATCCATTTAACCAAATGAATGAGTGAATGTCGTGTCGAAATCCGAGATCTATCATCTTACATTTGATAGATTCATCCATAAATTCTAGTCACACCTTCTCCTTTATTAGTTTCTATACAATAATGATACAATTAATTAATTTTTTCATAATAATTTTGTTATAGAATCCTTTTCTTCTTCAATTGACTAGTTCAAAGAATGTATCCATTCTCTGTGTTTAATCCAACTTCAATGAAACACATACATATCATAAAAGCATATACTAGTAGTTGAGATGGTAATTTTTTCGAAGTTTCGTTCAATGATACCTATTTACTTACTTACACCTGTTACTCCTCGTGAAGGAGTATAGATCGCCCATCAGTACTCATCATCATCATCAACATCTAACCTTATCCTGGGCAATCTTCTTCAAATGATACTTGGTACTTTGTTTTGATTTATAAAAGAATTCAAGATCAACAATTCCATCATTATTATTATTATACAATGTACAACCTTTGATACTTTTATTTTTCGAAGATTTTGCATTTTTGTTTTCTACACATAACTATTGATATTTTCTTTCATTATTTATTTATATTTCAGTTTATGCTTTCATTGTATTATTAACAGTGATTTCATATGTTATTAACAAGGGTTTACATTTATGATGAATTGTTGTATAATTACATAACAAACTACTTATAAACTACTTATATACCATCGAATATAAGTTTATATGTATATCATGTGTCTGTGAGATCAATTTTCAGTATTTCACCCTACCCCCCACATCTCCTCACCTTCATCAATGTAATAAATCGTTGAAGGACTTCGTCGAATAAGTATGAATTTCTTCAGATGTTTATTGTTTGTTTTATGTTTATTAAAGTGTGCAAATATTAACATTATCATCAATGAAATCATTACCTAATAACTTATGTGTTAAACTAATACTAACTGAAGAAAGTTACCAAATTCAAGTGTGTGTTTTTTTTTCTATATGAAGAACATTTAGTTTGGTTTCATTTTTTATTCAGAAAGATAGTCATATCAACAAACTTACTATCTAACATTACAATTATGGAAAACTTCTAGTGTTACAAGGGATTATTATGGTTAGAAACTAATTTTAGGACTCAATAGTTGAGTGGATAACGCGCGATGGCGTTTGAAGCGAATGGTACTGAGTTCGAGCCCCAGAGTGAACATCAACTCTGAGATGCAGGTACATCCAGCTGATAAATCCCAAATAGGACGAAGTGACGCGCGTCCTGGATTCCACTGCTAACCACTATTCATCATTGTTTACAAATAGCTTGTGAATTAAGGCAATATCGAGGCATACGCAGAGTATGCAAATATGCCAATAACAAACTGATCAATTGCAGTCTTAAAGCTCAATGAGAAGATAAAAGCTAAACAATACCAAGTGAACTTAATTCTAGTCAAAATTTCAGACTTAAAAACTGAAACTACTTATAATGTTTATAAGTAGTTGGATGTTATACTTAAAATTAATGTGTTAATATTATATTGACTTGTCCGATTATAGTAAATGAAATATTTAAAAAATTTTCTGATGATTATAAGAACAAAAAAAAGTAATTCTTCTGATTTATACTGAAGTTCAGTGGACAAAAATAATAAACCAATCAGTCGAAATACATCACAATCAAGACATATTCTAAAGTAGCAGAAGTAGTATCTGTATCAGTGGCAGTAGAAAAGATTAATATTCATTAGATATTAGAAGCCGATAAAAAGTCGATCAAATCAAGTTTAGAATAACAAACACTAGAGGCTGTTTCGATGGTCTAAGTATATCACACACATTGAGTGATCTAAATAATTTGAGTTCCATTTTTTTGAGATTTCAGTTATGACAGATGCGAAGTTCTAAACCAAAAAAAGACGTGATCACGAGAGTTTAAGCATATCGGGTGTGAGGTAGTTACAAACAAACGGTACTGGAAGATGATTGGACGATAACATAAATTTAATGAAGTTGGAAATGTTAACCACTATATGTCGACTCAGTGACATGAAAGGCTTATTATGAAACCAGGAAAGTCCTATACTTGATACTGAGATTGTGGAAACAATCTATTGATGAATTTCAGGCTAAAACAAAATAGCTTTCCAGTGCGTCCTAGTAAGAAAATTAGCTGTATAGAGCAGCATCTGTCGGTCTATCACAGCTAATTGGTCGTAGTCTTAGAGACGCTACAACTCAGTAGAATGACACTTTACCAAACATGGGTTAGAAAAGAAACCAGTGTTTACATTGTTTTCTGAGATAAGCCTAGTTATTCTTAAATGAACTGCTTTCGTTTGCTTCTTCACTAACTTCCTTTCATTTATTTCTTAACCAGATTATCGTTTCATTTGTGTGATGCAAATTTATGTACATTGATGAAACAAATCAACAAAATATTATAGAATCCAACCACCAATCAGCAGTATGATAAGACGATCATTTTATGATAACAATAATAAAAGACGTATCCCTAAAACGGCTAAATGCCATCAGTTCAGCGATATCCAATTCTCAGAGGTTCAAAAGCTGATATCAATATATTTACTATAAGTAATATGTACTGTCGGTTATAATGTTAAGCCCATATACCTTATTCTAGCTTTCGGACAAACCAATCTATTCATTCTCTTTGATTCACATTTTGACCGTGTCAATTATATGCTTATCAATCTTGACTATTTTTATCTGACCGCATATGTGTGTGCTCTTCTTATCCCATTCATCACATATCTGTAGCTTAATTCTACGTGACTAGAAATATTGATTAGTCAGAATACAGTGGTCTTGAGTGCTCTTAGCGGTATGAGGGCGGTTATCACTTCCCGGTTGCCCACACCGTGGAAGGGTTCTTCTGAAAGTACCTGAAAAGGAAATTGGATTAGAGGTGGCCTTAGTGACCTGGGAGCGTGACCGCAGTGCCCAGGGGACAACTGCTTGAGGTCGGTTACACACGACCTTTTTATAAGTAATGTTTGTGTTAGCTCCGTACTTGTTGAGACCTTATCGCCGGAGATAGATATCCGTGGGATAAGGCGAGGTGTGCATTTTTCGGGTCGACCTTTTCTAACCCCACTCCTCCTTGTGGGGAGACAGCATCGCTGTCATGCTGGTTGTCTGAAGGAAACACCTTACTGCTGTCATACAGTCAGCAGTACGATTTCGCCTTCGGACCTTGGATTTGTTGCTTTTAGTCTTACCGCTCTTCAACCGATCTGTCTGACGTGGTAGGACCTTGAGGAACGGTTATTCCAGTCAATATAGCTCGGTCGCTTTATCACGATAGGCAAGCCCGACCACCACGTCAAGGTAGCAACAACGGTCGGGAATGGTTTGTTTCATATGCTTACTCTACTGCGTGTCATTTCGCTTCGATATCTTTCTTCGCTTCTCCGATACATTTGTCTGGATTAAAGTTTGTATGGAATATACATATTTGAAATTTATTCTCATATTGGATTTATTTCATTCCATTATTGATTAACGCGATTTAAGTCGATGAAATACACGATGATATGTGACATATATAATATTTCGACAGCAACCATTCAATAACCAACATTTATACGATCTAATTGGAGACGGATTTCGGGCTATTAAAGATATTTCTCACCATTTTTCACAATCGTATAGATGCATTCACTCTTTTGATTCTTTATTCGATCATGAGCGATAGTAGTATTTCTTTCATATGTAACCCTCCACTTTGTTATATTTGAACCTTATTCTTAATGATTGCTTTTCCCACTGTCATTGCTACCACACTATTTAAATCTCTTCATCTGTTCATTTAGTTAATCATATTATCATGCTAATATGATATATAACAACTTAGAACAAGAGAAATCTGTATCAGGTTTTATGTTGATGACTACCAAGTCTGTAACTTATTTCCTGAGCAGAGATGAGTGAATTTAACTTTAAAGGATAATTCATATGTGAAAAGTATTAAATACTACTTGAACTGAATTATAAATAGAATAGAACTTGAAACTACAACCTCTATGGTTGATAAACTATGTGTATTAACCATCAAACCATCAGGATATAAGAGAATGATTGTTAAGCAGTTGATGAGGTTGTAAACCTTTATCAACTGAGATGGTTGGGCCATGTGTTACGTATGCCTGAACATCGATTACCACGATGCGCAATATTGACCAGTATTAGAAACGGTTGGAAGAAAATTAAAGGCGGTCAAACCAAAACGTGTTATCAGTCCTTGAAGTCACTAACTTCTAGTGTGAGCCATATTAGTAGATGCAGACTAGTTGGTTGGGGTCCACATAACTACTGTAACCAATGGTTGGAGACTCTTGGTGACATGGCTCAGAATCGATCACAATGGAGTCGGTGTATACACTCTCTGTCTTCCCTTAAACTAAGAGATTTAAATCCCCTCATATCTTTCTTTCTACGAACTAACTCTTTCTTCCTGTACTACATCCTTTATACATAATCTTTGTTTTATATATTGCTACCACTGAATTAACTACTTCTATCAATCCGATGTTCATCTTGTTGTGCTAATGAGGTATGGCAACTTGAACCGATGCATATATATGCCTCGTCCTACTTCGTACCTGACTGACTAACTAACTAAACAACACTGTGCCACTACTCAACACAAACCATCCAATTTACAAAGATCATCCTCTTTCATCAAATATAAACAATCTTCTAATTCATTCTTCGGTGTGTTTTTTTTTTTTAAACATGAGATCATCATAATAACAAATAATACATATACATGATAAATTGATTTCAGAAATCGAATAGTAATGATAGTAGTGAATAGTAATGATAAAATTACTATTTTTTATTGAAGAAATTTGTAATGGATTGTACACCTTTTGGAATTTTCGCTTTCTTTATAGTTGACTAGTAGAAATAATATGAAGAGAAAAAAACAAAACAAAATTATACAGAATACTATTGTTGTATTAAATAAACTAACTAATCTTAGTTATACTATCATTTAGAATCTGAAAGCATTAAATGTCTGATTCGTCCTAGAATAGGACTTCTCAGAGGTCTTTTATATCCATAATCTTGAACCAGAAAATCCAACACAGAACATTCAATCTTAACCTCGACTTCACTTAGTCGAAACCCAGTTGTGTGTGTGTGTGTGTGTGTGTCTGATTTTAGTCGACTCATGATATTGGAAGTTAAGGGCGGCCAGAACAAAACATGGCACAAATCCATGAAGTCACTGAGAAGTGGACTGAGCCATATTGGTAGGTGTAGACTACCTGGTTGGGAACTGCGAGATGATAGAAACCGATGGTTAGAAACCTTGAGTGATATCGCTCAAAATCGTTTGGAATGGTGTGCTCAGGTGCATCCACTCTTTGTGTTCACCCAAATTCTGATCTTCTGAATTCCTTATGTCCGCCATTTTCTCTATTTCCAAATTTATTTCACTGGATTATACTCCTTGAATAACATCTTCAAACCTTAATCTTTCGAATTACTGCTTATACTCTTACTACCTCTACCACAATGGGATTGGAATGGACAATTGTATCAGTGTGCTAATGTGGTATGGCAAGTTGAACTGATGTATGTACGTACATACGAAGTTCTACGTTGTTACTTACTGACTGATCTTCTTTTGCCTACGATGAATAACTGTCTCATATTGAACATGGTTAAACTCTATTGACCACAGCTTTGCAATACAACTTGACTTGTATCTACAAGTTGATCATTAGTGACTACATCATTAGAATAAAGAAATCAGGATTTTGAAATTCGCCCAGTATTAAACACGAATTGAACTTAGCTAGATATATAGAAACACTGGATGGCTATTTCATCTTAGCATAATGTAATGCCTTAAATCGTTCTGTAAATATGACATATACAACATATGCTCGAATGATAAGCAACTGTAAATTACAAGTTTACGATAAAGTAGTTCTTAACTTAGGAATTAATGATTGTTAGTTGTTTAAACTGATAGGACTTTATGTATATTTGGCTAAACTAACAATAATGGCAACCATACCATCATCCACTAAATAACTGAGTGTTAATTATTTACGTCCCATTTGGTAGTAATTAGGTTTGTCTATAAGTAAAAACATTAATTTTATCCACTAATTAGCATAAAAAGGTTTAAATTAATTATTTATTTTATTTTAACACATAGATATTGGTACAAGGAGGCACCAAATACATATGCGCCATACAAATCTCATTCGATATGTGTGAGGGCTGTGATACTGCCCGGGTGCCCAGACCGAAGCAGGTGGTTTTCTTAGGGAGCCCACACCCCGAACCTTCGGCCTGAAGGTCTGATCCACAAGACAGTGGAGCACCGTAAGGAGATGCAGTACTATGGAAGCCGGTGACCAACGATTGGTTCATACGCCATTTGTTCACGCCGGATACTAAAGACCATGTGAACCATTGATTTGGAATCCGGTTAAAGCGACGGACATTCGCTTTTCGCCCTCTCATTTTCGTAAACAACACCCTCGCCAGCAGAAGGTAGTGAGTATGACTTCCCTGCCAGAGGCTATATACGCGTGGCCGTGTGAGAGCATTTCGAGAAGGAGAGCGGACTCTCCCCACTCTCGGCCGTACCAGGGCATTTGTAAATAAAAATTCTTGAGTTATATGAGGAAGAACAAGGTTGACTAATTAATATTTGTCCAAAGATTTATCAGACCCTGGTTTGGTTGAAGGTGAGGAAAGTCAGCTTTCCCTCTCGAAATACTGTCACATGGCCACATACATACAACCACTGACATGGAAGTTCTATCTACTGCCGTCTAGCGGCAGAGTTGTTATTTACGAAATTTAGATGAAGAAAAGCGATTGTCTGGTGCTTTAACCGGATTGGTGGATATGGAGAATCCACCTGAGGGAAGTAGAAAACTGTACTTTCAAACGAATAGTGGATATGGGCTACAGGATCCTAAGGGAACAAATGACGTTAAACCTATTGTTAATCGCCGACTACTATAGAATAGCATCTCCTAACGTTGCTTCACTGCATTGTGGATGAGACATCTAGATCAAAGGCTCGGGGAGTGACTTCTTAAGTAAACCACGTGCTTCAGTTCGGCCGACCGGAAAGTATTCCAGCCCTTACAAAAACTGAATAAGTCTGGTATATATATATATATATATATATATATATATATATATATATATATATATACATTTGTTTGGTGCCTTTTTGTACTAATATATTTAAATAAATGCTTTTGCATTTTGTTTTTATTCTCTTAGTCTTTCTACCCATAGATACTTCTTTACTATGTTGATATGAATTGTGGTAAATCATTCTCTTACCCTTAGTAATTTTATATAGCTCTCTAATCATTATAACTCCGCCTGGAGTCCCTCCGGGGGCTACTGCCGGTCCCAAGCCCAGATAAAGGAGGAGGGTTGGGCATAGGGTTAGCGACCCCATCCCGTAGAAAACTAACTCGCTAAAAAAACGCTAACCAGAGAAAAAAACATTATTCAGTATCTCCCAGGTCAAAGAAAAAGAAAAAAGAACAGAATGAGATTTACAAAACAACAACAACAACAACATACCTCATTGATCTTTGATTCATTTAACTTTAATGCTGAAGAATAGTCTTCTTTGGGTTGATAATTTTTCGACTTATGTAAATATTGGAACATAAATTTGATCAAACAATAAATTAAATAAGATGAACGGTAGGGTAAAAAGTTATTAAGTTATTCAAAAAGGGTCAACTAGGTCATGATCTAATATGATTATATTAATGTCACCAAGAGGAATGATAGTGGTACGTTCTAAAGCCAAAGACTCTGGAGGAACAAATGGAGTATGAACCAATCGCTGATCGCCACAGTTACCATGGGACTGTATCTTCTAGCGTTGCTTCACTGCATTGTGCATTAGACGTTTAGGTCAAAGGCTCCAGATGTGGCCACCACCTAAGAAAACCACCTGCTTCGGTTTGGGCACCCAGGCAGTAGTATCACAACCCTCACACAAGTTGAATGATTTATGTGGCGCATATGTATTTGCTGCCTCCTTATATCAATATTTATGTGTTCAAATAAATCAATAAATAAATGTGATTAAAATTTGGGTTATTTAATCATTGAGCCCTTAGTCGGTTGGCTATGAACAACAATCATGTTTACAAGTTCAACGATCGTTATTACAGAATTTTATTGAGGTCTTACTCACCACTACAGATATACAGTTTAAGAATCCCAGATAAAAAAAGGGTAAAATAGAAGAAAAGTGAGAATATACTTCTCTTAAACAAAGTAAGTAATCATTCGTGTATTTAGGAACTAACAACATTATGATATTGTTAAGAGCGAGTTACACTTGAATTTCGAGTTAGATTCCCATAGCTTAGTGAAAAGGAAATAAGGCGAGACTCTAATTTATGGATGACCTTTGAACGAATCTTAAGTCACCTGGAGAAATATCAGCCAATCAGCACACAGTCGGCATAGAGTAAAAATATATTATTATACAAAACCATGGAAATAAAGTGGATACACTTCCTAGACGTGGTTCAGAAACGTGTCAACGTTAGAAAGAAGTTCAGAGGTCCTAACATCGTAATGCATGCATTAGAGGAAATCATCCATATGGCTACAGAATAGTCGACCTCTGGAGTCATGATAAAGTTTCAAAAACTCTTTCAGCCTCAACCGCATAACTTCAATATTGTTTATGTGCACTCGGTTGCTGAGTACACAAAATGCTACTTGTGGATAACGACATCATGCACATAACCAAACCTATGTAGGAGTCTCTACGCTCTCCAATTATCCGTACTTACTGTAGTACCTGGCTGCAGCCAGTGTTAGTGGTACTTTTATTATCCAGTTCGCAATAATTGTCGTAATTTGCCTTAGGAATTATATATAGGGTTTTCATCACGAACTGACATCAACTATAATGCCAGAAACTTATTTGGCGCGTTAAAATCCGAGATCTGTAATCTTATACCTGATTGACTCATCCACAAATTATAGTCTCGCCGTTTTATTTGTTATAGCCATTCAATTATCACGTTTTGTACAAAATTCCATGTGAATCGACCATACTTTAGCATTAAGCACTGAAGTTGGCGCTGTAACCTTGAAATCTCTCAAACGTTTCTGATTGACTCGTCCATAAATTACAGTCTCATCGGAAATAATTTTCTTTTTTTTATATAATAAAATCAACTTACATTAAATGACTTCTGAATAGATTTATCATCAATAGGATCTATATTTTCAGAGGAATTCATATCCGGCAAATTGAAATCAATCGTTTTTAATCCTATTTTTTCTTGAAGCTTAATGTATAAATCAGGAGAAAGATAATCAGCTACTAACTGATAGGCTAAATGTAAACATGTTTGATGTGACAATTGATTGGTTGATAGTATTTCAGCTTCTTTGGAACCTAATTTACAGAATACAAAACATTAATAATGAAGTTTATTGATAACTATATTTTAACGCCATACGTAATTTATTATTGTAGTAACAAAGAAAAAAAAATACATATTTGTACTAAATATGCTAGTTATTAAGCCTGTTTCATCTCTTTTAAGCATAAAGAGCATCTATTTATGTAAGGTGATTGTTGAATGAACAAGTATAAGATCCATCACTCCCGACCGTTGTTGCTACCTTGATGTGGTGGTCAAGCTTGCCTATCGGGATGAAGCAATCGAGCTACTATTGGCTGGAACAACCGTTCCTCAAGGTCCTACCATGTCAGACAGGTCGGTTGAAGAGCGATAAGACTAAAAGCAGCAAACCCAAGGTCCAAAGGATATCCGTCTCCGGCGGTAAGGTCTCAACAAGTACGGAGCTAACACAAAAATTACTCATAAAAAGGTCGTGTGTGACCGACCTCAAGCAGTTGTCCCTTGTGCACTGCGGTCACGCTCCCAGGTCACTAAGACGAACTCTAATCCAATTTCCTTTTCAGGTACCCCCAGAAGAACCCTTCCACGGTGTGGGCAACCGGGAAGTGATAACCGCCCTTATAACTTTAACAGCACCCAAGACCACTGTATTCATAATCTCAAGAGATCTATCACTTATGTAACAATTAAATGTATCATTTTCATCGTATTAATTATTTTATCTATTTACAACTATTACATATACGTAACTGTCAGTATGTAGGCTCATCTATCTATTGTATTAAATAAATGAACTATAGAAAGTAACTTAACAATTCACTTAACGGTTTGTTACCACATCGATCAATACAAACAATGAGTAGTTATTATATTCATTTATTCATCAGAATTATTGGTCGCCAAATGAATCCATAATACAGTATACAATTTAATACAAACTTTCAGCACCTTTTGTACTACATGAGTGTGGTCTACTAGTTACAGTGCAACATTTGAAATAATATCCATTTCCAAAAATTCTTTGTATCAGGCCATTAACCGATTACACAATCAGATTATTCGCATTCAACACTAACAGATTAAGGTTTGTAAGTTAAAGTCGCTAGTATTAAGTACACTGTGATATTGTGTAAAGTTTGTATTGAAAGTTTGTGTGAAATATAAGGAATATGAACACGTCCATAGTTGGCTACATTTGTGTTATAACTGATGGTCGATTATTATAACTGAGTCGCCAATTATTATGTTGGAATACCTTACCACTTATACTTGCAAAACGAGGAACCACTGCGATTCTCATGACGCGAAAGTACAAGTGAAGATTTATTAAACCCAAAACACAACGATGACCCTGATCGAAAATACACTCATTTATACATTAATTTGTACACCCATTTTTGATTAATAATGAGGATGAAATCACATATACGAAAAATACTTAGAGTTATAACAAGTCAGTCAGTCAGTTACAACGTAGGACCAGGCACATATATGTATCGGTCTAAACTGTCACACTTCATTAGCACAGCAAGACGAACACTGGGTCCATAGAAGCAGTTAACTCAATGCTGTAATATATAAAGGGAAGATTGCATATAAGAATATAGTACAGGACGAAGGAGTTAGTTCGTAGAAAGAAAGATACAATTCACGTGCTACATGTCATGCTGTGCATATTTCATGTCAAGTTAATACAAGAATACAGCATCTTATACAGAATAAAACAACATACTGTAAAACAAAACAAATACTACACTGAGTAATAACACACTGAATTTAAACAAAAGTACTATTGAACAAAAATCATAATGAGTAGAATAATCTTATGTTGCCTTTTTATCCCGTCATAACAATTCGATTAAATGGATGACTGCTAACGCCTTGTGAATATTACTGTCTCAATTATTCCCTAACAAGTGAGACTGTCATGCATAAAATTTCGCCATTTTTGCAGAAGTACTGTTCATTTTGATCGTGCGAAGTACATGCTACTGGTCCAATTCAAATAGCCTGTATGTCATAGCATATGAAGACAATATAACCTACATACTCTTGGATGATATATCTTTCCCTACATAACAGGTCTACACTAAAAACAAACACGCCCCCAAATGCCCTGGTACGGCCGAGAGTGGGGAGAGTCCGCTCTCCCTCTCGAAATGCTCTCACATGGCCACGCGTATATAGCCTCTGCCAGGGAAGTCCTACTCACTGCCTTCTCGCACCATGGGTGTTGTTTACGAAAATGAGAGGGCGAAAAGCGAATGTCCGGCGCTTTAACCAAATTCCAAATCAATGGTTCACATGGGCTTCAGTATCCGGCGTGAACAAATGACATGTGGACCAATCGTTGGTCACCGGCTACCATGGGACTGCATCTGCTTACGATGCTCCACTGTCTTGTGGATCAGACCTTCAGGTCGAAGGCTCGGGGAGTGGCCCCTTAAGAAAACCACCTGCTTCAGTTTGGGCACCCGGGCAGTATCACAGCTCTCACACATATCGAATAAGATTTGTGTGGCGCATATGTATTTGGTGCCTCTTTGTACCATTATCTGTGTTGAAATAAATAAAAAACAAACACTTAGTTGTTCCCAGAATATAATCTATAAGAAAAATAAGGATCAAGTGATATTGATTAGCTTTGGGTACAATATGTTCGGAATAGTGAAGGGATATGGTTGTATATTTTCAATGTGTTGTGAAGCTATCATTGTCGTTTTATTAGTTTGGCAGAACAAGCTATTAGTGACTCGTGGAGAAATCCTGATACCTCACTCTTATCTGGAGCTTGTGTTGATAATATCTAGAAAGAATATGAGTTTCACGATTAAACCAACCAAGCTAGGAAAACAATCTACCAAAATCTTCATGAATAAGAGGTCTTTACCTTCAATCTACCCTAATTTCGTTAATGAGAGTTATACTTTTAAATAAAGTTTCAAATTGACCTGTTAGACTAGTAACAAGCAGTCTTGAAAATGAGAAATGAAACGTTTGGTGGTGTGAAGCACACTTGTCAAATCCACTAAATTATATAGAGCACACATCATTTTAACAACACGCTGAGACATCCCAAGGTTAGTATCACATATACTTTAAGCAATTTGGTTTCGTGAGTGCCACAAATTAGAACAAAATTACTAATTGGCTATACGAGTTGAAGTACCTCGTTTGAGTTAAGTAATGTCTGGGTTTGGGTACGCTTATTTAGGGATAAAATTCACTGACTGACGTTTAATTGTCCTATTGACCGTCGTATATTTAGTCACGGGAGGATTTGGTGTGAAAAAAATGAAAGGGAGGTTTAAACCGTAGTTAAATATGCAGCAAAGAAATTATTTGTGGATAAAACAAAAAAAAATTTGAAAAACTCTTACTAGAAGTAAATTCTGGAACCCGTGAATCTTCACTTTTTCCATCGTACTGATTAGAAAACGAACTAGTAGCAATTAATCGAAGCTGAGAAACTAAAACAGGATTCTTGCAGTTGTAGGAAGCCTTATAAACAGCAGATACTCTATTCGACAACCACTCGATCGCCTTAGATTCATTTAACCGATAAACAGATATACTACCAATACCTTCGAAAAACAAATGGTCAAGATACATAAGCATTGTCAATACAGGTTCATAATTTGTAGTTTGTGAATTAAAACAGTTTTTCCGGTTTACTTTATAAATGCGCTTCGGTATGCAATAAAGCCGAATGAATTGCACACTATGTAACATATATTTTCGACTAGCCATTAAATACAATACGAACCTCAACAAACAAAATGCGATAAACTCTAACCCTTTACTATTTAAAACAATTAGACCCTTTGATAAATTTCGATAATGATATTAGAAGACGAAGATTATCAGAACTATGTGATATATTAGCGCAATACATTTCAAACAATTTGATCATACATATACTTGTTAAGAGCATTTATATATAAAAATAAAAGGTCAACTAAACTGGAAATGGGGCAAGAAGAGATAAGGATAATGATAATAATAATAATAATAATAATAATATAATAAATAATAATAATAATAATAATAATAATAATAATGTGAACACAAAGCGAAACCTAATCACTCTGGATAATAAGTCAATATTACCAGGGTAGGTTTAAGGTAAGAACAAACTGTTTTTGAACACATAAAGGGGGTTTGAATTTTCGTATTGCTAAGGCTTCAATAAACCTTAGTATACGCCCTTTTACACTTTTATACAGCACTACAAAAGCTGAATTTAGATCAATCTTGTGACCTGTTTCAATTATATGTTTAGCAATAGAGGATGATGGATGTTTATCCTCTGCTCTTATTGGGTCACTTGATTGTATTTGTTTCTGAAGCCATTTGGGTACATGTTCACTCACCCTAATGTTGAGATCACGAATACTCCTCCCTATGTATGTGTGACCACACACACATTTAAATTGGTAAACACAGTGGGATGTGACGCAATCGTTTCCATGTACTTCAGGTTTTGAATGAAGCATGCACCTTGTTCTTTCTTTGATGATGACCTTTGCTGCGCAATAGGTTTTATTGGTGGCTGATTTAAGTCGTTGTTTCAATAAAAGGCCATTTGAATCACCTCTGAATGGTAAGGTGATGTAGACAGGCTTTTTCTCTACCGAGGCTACAGTAGGTATCGCTGTACCATGGACTTTCCATCTATTTATGAATTTCAGAGGATAGCCATTTTCTATTAACGTTTTATTTAACAACTTGACATCATCATCAATGGCGTCGTTTGTACAAATACTACCGAGTCTGTTGAAAAGACACCTTATCAAACCACGTTTGTATTGCACAATGCAATAACTATAATAACTAAGATATTGACCTGTCCACGTTGGTTTTCTAAAAATACATCGCTTGACTGAACCATCTACTCGTCTACTCAGGAGTATATCTAGGAAGGGAAGCTGATCGTTTTTCTCCTCTTCACATGAGAGACTAATATGGTTTTCGAGATTGTTGAGTTTATTTAATAAACCGTACATATCCTCTTTTCTCTCACAAACAACTAAGATATCGTCCACATATCTCTTATAAAGTGACACGTTTCCGATTAATTCATCAGTCTGATTTTCTGTTAACGTTTTATTTAACAACTTAACATCATCATCAATGGCGTCATTGGTACAAATACGGTCGAGTCTGTTGAAAAGACACCTTATCGAACCACGTTTGTATTGCACACATGATTGAAAGTTGTTTTCAGATATGTAATCGCATAGTATATCAATGGTTTTTAAAAGGTACATTTGTAAACATAGGATTTACATCAAATGAACACATTGTCTTTTCCTTGATATTAATATCATCTAAAGGATTCTTTCGAACTGATTGATCATTTAGATGATATTAATATCAAGGAAAAGACAATGTGTTCATTTGATGTAAATCCTATGTTTACAAATGTACCTTTTAAAAACCATTGATATACTATGCGATTACATATCTGAAAACAACTTTCAATCATGTGTGCAATACAAACGTGGTTCGATAAGGTGTCTTTTCAACAGACTCGACCGTATTTGTACCAATGACGCCATTGATGATGATGTTAAGTTGTTAAATAAAACGTTAACAGAAAATCAGACTGATGAATTAATCGGAAACGTGTCACTTTATAAGAGATATGTGGACGATATCTTAGTTGTTTGTGAGAGAAAAGAGGATATGTACGGTTTATTAAATAAACTCAACAATCTCGAAAACCATATTAGTCTCTCATGTGAAGAGGAGAAAAACGATCAGCTTCCCTTCCTAGATATACTCCTGAGTAGACGAGTAGATGGTTCAGTCAAGCGATGTATTTTTAGAAAACCAACGTGGACAGGTCAATATCTTAGTTATTATAGTTATTGCATTGTGCAATACAAACGTGGTTTGATAATGTGTCTTTTCAACAGACTCGGTAGTATTTGTACAAACGACGCCATTGATGATGATGTCAAGTTGTTAAATAAAACGTTAATAGAAAATGGCTATCCTCTGAAATTCATAAATAGATGGAAAGTCCATGGTACAGCGATACCTACTGTAGCCTCGGTAGAGAAAAAGCCTGTCTACATCACCTTACCATTCAGAGGTGATTCAAATGGCCTTTTATTGAAACAACGACTTAAATCAGCCACCAATAAAACCTATTGCGCAGCAAAGGTCATCATCAAAGAAAGAACAAGGTGCATGCTTCATTCAAAACCTGAAGTACATGGAAACGATTGCGTCACATCCCACTGTGTTTACCAATTTAAATGTGTGTGTGGTCACACATACATAGGGAGGAGTATTCGTGATCTCAACATTAGGGTGAGTGAACATGTACCCAAATGGCTTCAGAAACAAATACAATCAAGTGACCCAATAAGAGCAGAGGATAAACATCCATCATCCTCTATTGCTAAACATATAATTGAAACAGGTCACAAGATTGATCTAAATTCAGCTTTTGTAGTGCTGTATAAAAGTGTAAAAGGGCGTATACTAAGGTTTATTGAAGCCTTAGCAATACGAAAATTCAAACCCCCTTTATGTGTTCAAAAACAGTTTGTTCTTACCTTAAACCTACCCTGGTATTATTGACTTATTATCCAGAGTGATTAGGTTTCGCTTTGTGTTCACATTATTATTATTATTATTACCCTTATCATTATCCTTATCTCCTCTTACCCCGTTTCCTCCCTCTCGTAATGCTCTCACACGGCCATGCGTATACAGCCTCTGCCAGGGAAGTCCTACTCACTAACTTTTCGTGGCGGGGATGTTATTTACGAATTGAGAGGACGAAAAGTGGATGTCCGGACATGGGCTCCAGTATCCAGCTTGAACAAATGGCGTACGAACCAATCGTTGTTCACTGGCTTCCATGTGAATGCATCTCCTTACGATGCTCCACTGCCTTGTGGGTCAGACCTTCAGGTCAAAGATTCAGGGTGTGGCCCCCTAAGAAAACTACCTGCTCCGGTCTGGACACCCGTGCAGTATCACGGCCCACAGCGCCGTCTGGCTACAAAAGGTCGGATCTACAACGCGTCGGTGAGAGTAGATTTGCTCTATGCTTATGAAACCTAGGCTCTCCGAGTTGAGGACGTTAGACGACTCTCTGTGTCTGATCATCGCTGTCTCCGAAGGATTGCTGACATCCAGTGGCAACGCCATGCTAGTAATATAGAGGTTAGGCATCATGTGTTCCGGCACAGAGACGATAATCCAGTTGGTGTCACCATCTTGAAACACCGACTTCGGTGGCTTGGACATGTTCTACGAATGTCGTCCCAGAGAATTCTATGTCGTGCATTATTTGCCGACTCTGATACTGGTTGTAAAAAGCGGAGAGGTGGTCAGTGTATGACATGGTGTCGTGGTATGAAAGAATGCTGCAAAGGGCTGGCTTGTGTTGGCCCTTCACAACTCCTTGGCTGGGATCCTAGAGATGGTGCTACACAGTGGCTAGAGACGTTATCAGATATGGCTCAGAATAGAAGCCAGTGGCGATCCTGCTGTAACGTTCGTTTACCTTCTTCACAAAAAGTGGTTGTATCTTCCTTAACTGAAAGATTTCCTCTGGTTTTACCTTTTCGTTTCCACCATTATTATTATTATTATTACACTACCTTACACTAATCTGTCCGTTATTGCTCTTTTTTACGCTCCTTACCTTTGTTCCCTTCGAATTCTCATTGTTTTGCGCGGCGCATATGTATTTGGTGCTCTCTTGTACCAATATTTGTGTTCAAATAAAGAAAGAAAAACTAAGTAAATGCGAGATTAATTTGGCTACATACAAAAATCCAAGAACAAAAAGTACTCAAAGAATAAACTACACGAGATAGGATGGATGAAATCCACTGAAATTCAGTATTTGAGTACATATTCCCAATACACACGATTCACGAAAGGACAGATGACATGATACACCAATTAATACGAATACAGAGATTTTCCATAAGTCTCTCTAGAACGAAAACCCTGATCTTAAGACAGCTAACGAGACTAGTGCATAGTGAACAAACTGATATCAACATACCTACAAATGGTACGGGAACAAAAAGTATTAAAAATGACCTGATTATGGTGCGTAAAAACCATGTACAGTAACTGTATCTAGTAATTCTTATGAAGAACAATTTTTTAAAGATGGCCATGACTCATGATGAGAATAAAGACTTACACCTTTTGTCACAAATTTCTTCAAGACGACTTTCCATGTTGGGAATGTTGCTGAAGACATCGAAACATCCACAAATTTCACTCAAAATAGCATCCCATGAAATAAACTTGTCCTAGAAATGTAATTCTCTAAAGTTAAAAGACAAACATTTTTTCTGCAGAATGATATGAAGAAGAAGAGGGGGTCAATTCGATTACAAACGTACATCCCACCATCTACATGTCTTCATTTAACAAATATTTAAATATATATATACCAGATTTGATATTTTCACCAAGCATCCAAGACCGACATTTTTCGTCGATTTTCTGAATTTCAAAAAGCTCTGAAGACTGACCATCCCACAGATACAAACAAGGTAAATCTAGAAAGGTTACGAGGCCCTAGTCTATCCAAAGAAACGACGTCCTTACCTGATCTTGGATGTTTTAGTCTAATTAAAGAACACTTTGAAGGCTGGCATGTAACGCTATCTACGGACATATATAATAGCCATGAGAGAAGGTACCTGGATTAGGAACACAGAGCTACAATCATGCATTTCAAACCACACGGTAGCGTGTAATTGAAATCAACCCCTTAATGCTTCAGCGACCTTGATCAGCCTTCATCAAGGCAGTCACTTCATATTTGAAGTGCACCATATCAGTGGCGTGTCTGTTGGCTACATCACTAAGGTATTCAAAATGGGTTCAAAGTGGTTCTGGATAAAACAGAAGAAAAACTTGATTAACCGGCTTCCGTATTTGGTAAGAGTGGATCACAGATGCCGCTACGTAAGAGCCTAATAATATTTAACGATAAAAGATAAAAATACTGGTAAGTTGTGTTGAAGTACTGTGTTTGGTTCTTAAGAATGTAGTGGTAAGTAAATCCCAAAAACAAATAGCTCTGTAAGTCTTCGACATTGGATGCTGACCATATTATTTTTAGTGGACTCATATAACTGAAGGCTCTTGGTCATGCATCCGCGCAAGATCACGAGTGGGAACGCCGTCCTCATCATCCCCCGCAATCGCTAGCCAGATTAGATCAGACGATCCTCCGTACATTAACAGCCTATCAAATATATCTTCGAACCTCCTCGCTTCTGTCTTCTGATTTCATTTGGTGGATACGATTCATATTGGGTGTTACTGTTTAGGCGTTGTCGAACTATAAACACCTTCGTCATCTTCAAGAATATGTCAATTCTCCTAATTAAGGACTCCTGAAAAGTCGCTTAGACTAGCTCAGACGGTAGCGAATTCCACAATTTGACTACTCTCAATGAGTAGCAGGTTTTACTACGGTCCGTCATACTATGTTGTGCCTCCAGTTCCTTGGTGTTATCCCAAGTTTTGTGTTGGGGCTAAGCTTAATAAGATGTTTAATGGAATGTCGAGAAGCATTTAGGTTGCTGTACTTTAACGGGTGAAGATTCGGTTACCGGAAGCAATTTTCACAAGTCTTAAATTTGAGTACCCGTGTGGAGATAGGCCTGACAAGCTTATTTTGTAAATATTTTTCAATGTTATTTGTATTCATTTTGTCAACCTTCCACTGTATGTATATTTAACATTAAGTGACTGTAACTGTTGTTTTAGTAAATGACCTTGAACACACTTTCCGTTGTGCAACCATGTAGCGTGACATACTCTTGGTGGCTAACAAATACACTACTACTCACATATTCCTCGTTCTATCTTCGTTTGTGATTGAGTTATCTGAAGTCTGAATCAAATACTATCATTATTTACAGACTGTAATTGGAATATATCACATTCTACTTCGGATTATATCACTGGAGAGTTCGTCAACCCGATCAGAATCACCAAGCGTTTATAATTGTGGATTTACAATACCAGACCCAATCAGAACACGCAACATTTGCTCAATTTAAGTAACGTCCCAAATTTTTTTGTATTTGTAACATTTAACTGGTATATATTGATATTACTATTGATTTTTATTAACTTTGTTGATACTTTTTTCGTTTATATATAGTCTGGTCCATCACACCCGAAATGATTTTGTGGCTCCTTGTTGGATGAGGTACAGATTGTCGTTATACTTTTGGAGTGAGAGCAGAAAAACAATGCTTCCGTACTCTAAATTGTGACGAATAAAACTGTTAGGGGTTATGTGGAAAGTTCTTCCACTAGAGTGTTAGAAAATGAGCTTCAACGTTAACAGTACGAGGATTTTTCCAAAGGCGTTTTTGTCGCAGTTAGCCTGAGACTCCAAGTGGCAGGGCACATGCACTCAAATCTTTTTCACCTTGGGGTACCTCTAGACAGAAGTTGCAAGTTGCATTTTTAGTCTTCAACATGTGTCATATGGACTACCTTACTAATCGATGTATTAAAGATAAGCCTGTTGTCATCTGCTCAACTTTAATGTCGAGACAGATCCTCTTGAATCGGTTGCGTAAGTCTCCAAAGTTTCACATCATTGTCAAAAGGTAAAAAATCTTGCGATAACTGCTAGGGGAGGTCGTCTATATAAATGTAATGGAAGCAATTACTATTAAAACGAATTTTGCCTGTGATTTTTTTACCGTGCTCGTTTGTTTAATTGTACCAAAACACATACCTTCTTCCGTTAACTGTGACCTTGCACGCTCTCGGTTGCGCTCGGTAGTTGCACTGGCACACTATGCGTGTTAGGTCACGGGTTTTCGCGCGCATGTAACACATTGTCGTGGATTTTATGTGTCGTTATTTTTTTCCATCATACGTGACTTCTCGTAATCTTTGTGATTGGAGGATAGTTTTTATTTCAATTTATAGGCAGTTTGACGTAATTCGTGCTCACCACCTAAGTAAATATGTAGTTGGCGTAATATGATTATTTTTAACAATACAAAGTCAAACAAGTCAAATCACCATTTTTCTAGTCAAAAATAGATTACAGATTGAGTTTTCATGAAAATAAGCCGTAAAATGCATTATATATGGTTCACCTCCTTGATTATGGTGACGGCAAACATAGATGTCCGTAGTCGTTTATAAAATGTAATTAGAAAGAAGTAAGCGTCAAACTAACTATGATTATTACATAAATTGTTTGTATTTAGCCATAAAAGGTTATTTGAACTATAGGTAGCATTGTTTTGTACTGAAGTGACATATTATTTTGTAACGTATCAGAGAAAAACTATGTGACTAACAATTGACGTTGATAGTCTTTTTTACCGGCTTTCTGAATGTATACAGGAACAGTGCATAACACCACATTAAAAAGGCACAAAATTTCATAAGTAAAACGATGGGTGTCTCTTCTGAGCATGGTGACAAAACCATGTTGTACTTAATACTGATTTATGATGTGTCTGTTAGAGGGTTGACGAATAATTTTCTGTAAACGAAATGCACAATCGCAGACGAAAATGTGAACAAAGTTATGATGCATATTGTCGAGTAATATCTAAATGGTGCTTACCAATTTCTCTTGCTAATACCAGATGCATAGACGAAATACTACAAGGGTTAGACACTGAAGAAATTCCCAGTGCTTGTTACGACACAGACTTGAATAAAAAAACAACTATTATTGAGTTAATTCATGAATTCCTCCTGCATTACAGACTGACTCGTCCGAAGTAATTCATGCAGACAACGTGACGAAAAGTGAATGAGCAATGGAAGCAGAATCACAAGTTCCTTGTATTCATATTCATAATAAGTCAGACTACGCTTGTATGTTGTGACGAAACTAACTTCAGCAATTTGTAAATAACACTGATATGTGTGTTGTAAAGATCACCTATTAATTTTTATTAAAAGAAATAGAAATCTCTAACGATTAGCGCTGTCTGCAAATAAGAGACTTATAGGTACATTCTGTAACCTGCTATTTGATTGACTTATTGAATGTGATACTGATAACTAAGTCTAATTCTTTATTTCACGACTGATTTGTTGTTTTCCGTATTGCCTAGTAACATTTTTATTCAACTAATGAATTATTGAAATATAAATATAGCAACTACACTCAGTGTCTTACTTTATAAACCGTGTCCGTATTTATTAATAGTCGATATGACGCTAGAACAAATATAGATAGAGAATAATATGAACTCCTTATAATCCATGGAATGAACAAGTAATAAGATGGATTATGTAATAATTCATTTCACTTTTAAAATTTAGTTACCGATTTATTCCAGCACCCTGTCACTTACATCTACTACTTAATCCTCTGTAATTATGTGACCTCTTCAAATTGTAATCAATTATTACGTAACCCAAGTTTTCAGTTCTTAAATCCACGGATCATTTATAAGCTATAAGATTTTCACACCACTTATCTGTCTGTGAACTCCAGTCCACTATTACACCACCCATTCTTAATGTTTTATTGACTGTAAAAACAAATGACCTTTGACCTTAAACTGCATATATATATATATATATATATATAGTCATTATTGATAACCTACGTCATTTCAATTATTCATATTCAGGTATGTCAACTGTTTCCCACATCACTGTTAAATCCTAATGCATATTTAGTTATAATGAATGCATACCACTGTTAATCAACATTTCTCCTGGTTTCATTTTAATTCATAAGCGGAACTAATCACATGAAATTAAAATCTACTTAGCTACTGATACTATTTTGATGATAAACGTAATCCGACGAAGGTGAATATGATATGTGGGTGCCTAATCTGCAAGACTGTACGTGGATGTAGGGTTTCTTAATCATTCTTAACTATTACAGACAGTTACACATGAACATCATTGCTATTCATTCCCATGAAAGTAGGAATAAGATGAAAATTAAAATTATGAAAAAGTTTATTGAATAATCATTGCTGCTAAAGCAGAAAATCAAGTTTACAAGTTGGTATTAAGAATTCTTAAGTAATAATTGTCCACTTTCTTCTCGACTTCCGTTGCGAAACGTTCACCATACTTCTCAATGATGCGATGCTTATGGATTCTTTGGCTTCGTTGAATACTTATATACACTTCACTCCGTCGTGTAATGCAGTTAATGTATTATTTTGGAAGTTCTGGGTATTATGTAACTTCCATCTGCTACAATACCTAAGAAGTTGATGAGCTATGCAGTTAGTATTTCATAATTGATATAGCTTACCTGTAAGACTTCGTCTTTTAACGTAGGCAAGTAGCATGTGACGGCACGGATATCGACACATCATAAACGTGCTACAATTGCATTGACAAATGCTTACATCCACTTCATAATGTTGTCCGCGGTCAACCATAAACAACCAGTCGCCGCTTTCATATTCCACGTAGACGAAACGCATTTGTTTAAGTTCGTATAACACTTTAGATCTTGCGAATGGGGTCAAAATGTTTAGCAAGGGTATAAGACGCTGTGGAGCATTATATTTATAAGATCTTCCGGCTATTACTTGATCTTCGATACTTCTTCTAGTTGACGTCATTTCACTCCATTTTAAAGCCTTGTACATACATTTGTACAGACTATCACTTTTCGTACATATCGTTTTATTTGCCTATTTAGCGATTCAACACGATTATTCGTGCTGTTACCCAATGTTAAAACATGACCGTAAAACGCACGCGCCCACATTGTCTTACGTGACAGGTACTGACCTATCAATCTGTCCCGCCGATTTATTATTCTGTAATATTGATTAAATCTAGTGAATAAACACATTACTAAGGTTACCTTCCAACCGTTTCCGCAGTTACCAATCGAG